GTTCTAGTCGGAGTAGTGAGAGTTGGAGTTATAGATCTAAAAGACTTAAAAGTTAATTTGATGAGTTTTTCGACATAATTCATGTATCCCAAATTGCTTTGTGTAACTTATGCCAACATAAAAAGGTTGAAATAAAAATGAAAAACAGAAACACTTCAGGCTTAAGGAAGCATCTAATATCTTTCCACAAAAAGGAATCACAAATATTTCTTCCTGAAAAACCAAAATTAAGTGGAGATATCACAAGCTTTTTAATAACCACCGGAAAAAGTGGACAGGTAAGAAAAAATATACTTATCACACAATTACATAACACATATGTTATGTAACTAGCGGTCGCCTGCGACTTCGTCCGCGTACAATATCTGATTTCCTATGAGATTTTGAAATTTTCTCGCTGCAAAAGTCTTACATAAGTATAAAGAGGCTATTATAGGTAAAGCTTAACTATGCAAATATTTATTATTTAAAACTAATAAAGTAAATGTCGATCTTCATATCTATACTTTAAAAATATAGAACTTGCATGTAACCATTTGACCCCAATTTCACCCCCTTAGGGTTAGGATTTCGTAAAACAGCTTAATCAGGATTTTATTATTGAAAACTTATAACTTTAATGCCGATTTTCGTGTCTCTAACTACAAAAACGTAGGACTTTCATACAAACTTCCAACTCCCATTTCACTCCCTTAGGGATAGATTTTCTCAAAACCGTTTCTGAACTGATCTCTATGCCATAAAAGGAACCTATACTACAGAACTATAAAACATACAAACTTGAAGTTTGTAGGTAAACTTCAAGTTTGTATGTTTTATAGTTCCTGAGATATCGTTATAGTCAGTCAGTGAGTGGTAGTTATATATATAATAGATTATAGTGTTAAATATGTATTTATAATTCACTCATATTTTCATTTGTTTGTATAATCGGCGAGACACATGATTTACTATTTTATTTCAGTCTGAAAATAGCAGTGACAACATCACGACAGCTACAGTTCATTGGATGGTTAAAAAATTTCTTCCCTTCTCATTTTTCGATGACGAAACTACACAAGTATCATCATCATCATTACAGCCCTTCACAAGTCCACTGCTGAACATAGGCCTCCCCCAAGTAATGCCACAAAGCACGGTCCTGAGCCGCCTGCATCCATCGACTTCCTGCATGTCTTACCAGGTCGTCACTCCATCTAGTGGGGGGTCGCCCTACACTACACGCCGTGTAGTGGCGGTTGAGAATATCCACTACCCCATATCTTCCCGTAGGTGTCGTAAGAGGCGACAGAGGGAGACAGGCAGGAGATGGGCAGCAGCATCTTCCTGATAACAACTGTGTTATAATAAAAAACTGCGGTTGCCAACCCGCTCGCCAAGCGTGGCAACTATGGCAAATATCCCCCCATGAATAATGACGCAAAAAAACACAAGTATATTTTCGATTAATTTGCCCAAATATGGTGTTTCCTTGACCTTTTGACCTTTTTGTCCACACTTAGAAGGAAGGTCAAAGAACGGTTTAAAGAGCTTTAATTGAATCTTAAGAAACGACTACAACAATTTTCATCTAAAATGTCATTTACCATTGATGGATGGACGTCAATTGCTGGTAGGAGTTACTACGGGGTCACTATTCATTATATAGACAACGAATGGAAGTATCGATCTGTAGTCCTTGATTTTATACCATCACGCGGTCGACATACTGGGGAAGATATTGCAACGATTTTCCACGAATGTTTATTGGAATATGACATAATTGATATAATACAGGGTATCACGGTCGACAACGCAACTGCAGATTGTTGATTCAGACAATCAACATTTCCGGTGCTTTGCTCACATTTTGAACCTTGGTGTACAAGATTTATTAAAGACCTTAGCATTACACAGTGAAACTGACAATAAGGGACAAGAACAGCAGTATGAAGATAATGAAGACGAAACTGAGGAAGATGAAGAATATGCGCCAAATATTGCTGACTCACGTACAGCTATAACAAAATTACGCAGTATTTCCAGTAAAATAAAAAGAAGTGAGATATTAAAAAGGAAGTTTCAGTCTGCTTGTGAAGCAGCTGGCGTGCCATCAAATCTGAACCCCATACACGACTGTCCAACGAGATGGAATTCCACTAGTGATATGATTGGATTTGGTTTAAAAGTGAGAACTGGCATTAACATATTGTGCACTTCTGTCACCGAATTGAATGATTTTCAAATCACAGATAGTGAATGGCAAATACTCGAAAAAATACATAAGTTTCTAATAAACTTTAAACTTCTATCAACGAAACTTGGTGGAGAAAAATATGTTACATTACCGCTAGTTATTGTATCATTCAATCTCTTGCTCGATAAAATTGAGTCCATGGTAAAACAATTAGATGAGAAACCTAATCGATCCGAAGTGGATGAAAGGCTCATTCTGGGTTTTCAAGCAGCTCGAGACAAAATGCTTAAACATTATAAAAAGAGCAACTGGATTTATTGTACCTCTTTAATTTTAGACCCAAGGCATAAGACTCAGACTTTTGACATGACATTATGGGGGAAGCAAATTAAAACAGAAAGCCTGCGCAAATTTAATGAACTTTATAAAGAATATAAAAGTCTACACTCAGTGAATACATCTCTAGAATCACCAAGAAACGAAAAGAAAGTATGTGAATATGATGAAGATGAAGACGTAATAGACTTTGAGAAATTGTATGCATGTCCCTCGACGTCATCTGGATCTGGATCTTTTCATCAAGGCTTAGTTATAGACGAGTTGGGCGAGTACCTAAGTAAACCCAGAGCTGCCAGTTCGGAAGACATTTTAGAGTGGTGGAGGACGCATGAGACAAAATATCCGACTCTATCGAAGATGGCCCGTGATTTTCTTTCAATACCTGCAACTTTAGTACCTGCTGAGAGATTATTTTCTAAAGCATCATTAGTAATTAGAAAACATAGAAATAGGTTAAGTGATGAGTCAGCCAGATGGTTACTTTGTATTAATTCTTGGTCAAAAGAATTAATATAAAGTAACAGTAATGTCAAAGCTGTTGTGTACTGTTATGTAATTTAATTTGTATTGTATTTTATTTTTTATTTAAATAAATGGTAAATTGTATAACTCTTTTATTCCATTTCATATAAGGGTCTATCAATCTCTTTCTAGACAGATAATGTTCTTTATAATACAGTCAAGTTAATGTCATTAATTTGTTTTTTATATGTTTTGACTAAGTTTTAGCACATGTAAGCTTATTAAATGTAATTTATTAAGAAACAGACTAACTTCCGTGGCCGTGAGACTTGGTAGACAGCTCAGTTGGTTAGAGCATCGGATCGCTTAGGTCGTGGGCTCAAACCCCACCCGGTATTAGTTGATTTTTCGAATTTCTCATTAAATGTTTAGAGTTTAGTTTTATTCATTTGGGTGGTCTTTCTAAGGCTATATTAATTCAAGCTCAAAATGTGCCTACTCTGTTCAGTTGTTCTAAGATCTAAAGTAACGTTTAATAAATAACAATAGGCTAATAAGTAATTGCGAGACTTGCGAGGCTCTTGCTGCAAGACCAAGACCAAGAACAAGACTGAGAGCGCAATACCAAGACCAAGAACAAGACCAGGTGTATTGGCGCAAGACCAAGACCAAGACTGGCTAAGTCTCGTCTTGTTCTTGGATTTGGGCAACACTATTGGCATGGGCAATTCTATGGGCATGGTCGTTATATTGCTTACAATTATTTAGTTTTAATGATTTATTATTACATTATTTATTATTGAAGAACACTTTCTTAGAATTCTTAGAATTCGCTTATGCCAGCCCTAGTGACGAGGTTACCATAACAATGTAATTTGTCCCACTAAAAAACGATAAGTGGGGAAAATTACCTAGACGAGAAAATCTTAAAGAGTCCACTTTGTCCCACCTGCGAGACAGTTGGTGGGAAAAGGTGGAATAATCATTATCACTTTGCCAAAACCCTATCGAAATTATCTAACTTGTACCTATTTTCTCGAGATAAAAAATCGGTCCCAAGCTTGACCGATTTTTTTTCCTCATAAACAATAAAAGAAAGAAGCTATGTCCCTATGTTTTTCTGTTATAATTTACGTTCGTTACGTTCGTTGAATATACTTGCTAAATGTCTAAGCACAGCAGAATCATTGGGAAGTTTAAATATTTAGAAGTTACCAGTTTTTTAAATAACTAATAGTATTTTAAAAAAATAAACATAGGAACATAACAACATAGATAATATAGATTATATCGTAAAAAATATTTTGATCTAGTGTCATAATCGAGGTAGGAAAGAGAGAACTGCGTTTGTGTGGATATAATGCTGCCTAAATAAACAAAATATTATTGTATTTCCCCTTTTTTGGGTAATAAACGAGCACACAGTCCACCTGATGGTAAGTGGATGCTGTGGCCCATACACATCTACATTTATCCTCGATTAAGAATCAAAATGCATATGCGTGGACTGAGTATTAAGATGGAATTTCTTGTTTCCGGTAAAAAAGGTTCTCCGGATCTCTACACTCACCATACGAAACACAGCAGTATTAAGCTGCTATGTTACGCTGGTATTCTGCGAGAGCATAGTTCTTCCTCGGTCCCGGCTGACTTGTTCGTGCTACAACGATAATATAGCTGCAGTGTGATTCTACCACGTATATACTCTTCATTCGCTCTTGCGTTTTATTTGTAGGCAACAATTGCTTCTAATTTTGTAAAGCAATTATATTATATAATATTTCGGTTATATGTATAAAAACACAAACAGAAACTTTTTATTTGACATAATTTATTAATAATACTTGTTGAAAGTTATTCTTTTGTGTTATTTTTCGGAAAATACGTTTCTTGGGAAACAGAAGAAACCCAGGGAAATTTTTTTAAAAAATAATAACAATTTACGATTATATAAGTTACACTATTAACTAAACTATAATCAAGTACTATTCAATTATTATACAATTGTATCTCTTGTTCCTAGACAGTGACCTGGAGTCAATACGCGCATTGTTCAATGAGAAGGAGAAAGAGCTATCGGTGGCGGTGGCAAAGGTTGAAGAGCTGACGCGGCAATTGGAAGAACTGCGAAGAGGAAGGGTGCAACCTGCACCACCATCTGCCCAGGAGCTCGATAAACTACGTCGGGAGCTTATGGTAAGTTAAAAAATATACTTTTTTAGGTTTTTTTAATAAGTAATATTTAAAATATGAACCAAATTACGATCCCCATTTCACCTACAAAAACCAATTATGAAACAATACAAAAAAAAAACAATTTATAACAATTCACATGAATCTTAGAATATTTAGCTACTTATTTTAAGCATACTATTTTAAGTATCATTTTCAATGTTAATACTAAAAAATATATATTATAAAGTATAGTATGGCCCATCACAAATCCACTGCTAAATATAGGCCTCCTTCAAGGACTAATACCGAACACGTGAGTCCAGGTGGTCATCGACTTCCTGCATGTCGTATTGGTTTGTCACTCTATCTAATGGGGGCCACTCCACATTTAGTTCATAGTAATTTTTGCACTATATTTATTATTACTTATTTTATAGCCATAAGTACAAGCTTTTAAATTCGTTAATTAGTAAGGTACTCAAAAGTTAAACACATCAAAAAAATTATTAAATTATTTGTCCTTAAAATTCGAGTAATAGCATAATTATTCTTTTATATAACACAAACGAAAAGAATTTACCGTGTAGTCACGGTAATTTATAGATAAAACTACCTGGCGGTGCAAACATACCCTATATACATACCGGGTATACATGTATACCCTATACCCTACCCCATATAATCCCGTGGGTGTCGTAAGAGGCGACGAAGGGAAACAGATCATGATGGGTATAGTTATAGTTTCTGGACGTTAACGCTGTTAGTCTATGCGACTCTTACAGATTCATCTGCAGACCGCGAGCTATGCAAGGCCGCGAGCTAAGATGGGTATATAGCAGCGTCATCCTAATAACGACTAAAAATAAAAAAACTGCGGTTGCCAACCCGCTTGCCAAGCGTGGCAACTGTGGCAAATATTCCCCCAATTAGGCACTGTATGTGGAAGGCCTATGTTAGCAGTGGACTTTAATCGGTAACGGTAAAGGCTTTGATTATATACCTGGTAAAGGAAAAGAATTTCATAGGTACATAATATATAATTATTTAATTAACAACGAATTAATTCGTAAGTATTTTATGAATTTTTAAGTTAATACGAAAAAAACAATACTCGTACCTATTTTCTACTAAAAAATACTATTTCAAGAAAAGACAAAGCGAATGTTAAGAATACTCAACTTTATTCAACGTGAAGAATAGGTACTCAACTTTATTCAGTACCCAATGTCTCTTTGGGAAGCGGGGACAGTAAACCTTTTTTTATTCAAAAGGGAATACCTAGGTATACCCATCTCGCGGGGGAAATTACGGGCTTATGTAAGATTTAGACCAACTAAAACCTATAGTGTTGCACCCTTATTACATATCGGAGGGGCCACGAGAACGGTTTCGGAACCACTTCATACAAACACATTCACATATACATCCGCAATCCCATTTGCTCCGGACGTCGTTTGACGGCTCTTTCTTGGAAAAGTAAATGTTCTTACCATATTCTATATTAGGTTAGGATATTGCGCGCCGTTCTCTAACTCTACCTACCACTCGAGAAACACCAGTCTACCCCACCCTAGTGGCGGATCCGAGCATGACTCCGGAACCGAATACGTTCTGGCCACGGAGGGCCCTGAAAACAATTTTGTATTACAAATTAAACATATCGTATGGCACTTGAGTATAAAGCATATTTTTATCGGTAAAAGAATATTGCGAATCGGATCAAGAGATTTCCTCTGACAAACATATTCACATTTACAAACAAGCCCACCTCTTTATACGTGTAGAGTGCTATTCTTAGCAGATGGATTTGCGACAATTTCAGTCTTATCATCTTACACATCACATAAAAACAAAACAAAATCAATGGTGGATTTCTTTTCTGACTAATAATTTTGAAAAATACGTCTATTTGTAAAGATTGTAAGTACTTAAGAAAGTAAATAAGACAACAAAATCCTTGAACAGGGTCCAATTGTCGGTGAATAAATTTATGAAATAGATAAACAATCAAAAAACCTTTTCACAATGTACTGGTACATAACATCTTTGAAGCACACACTTTATTCAGAAATAAACAAGTTAAGTCGCGTATTCTCCGGACTTCTTACGATGCTAAATAAACCTATAAGGAATCCCTTTTCAAATCAGGAGATCCCTTGTCAATGTCGGAACATAAGAGATCAGGATTTGCCTTGATTCCATATAAAATCAACGATTCGTATTTCATAGGAAGAGATAAGCCAAGTGAATTGTTTTTAAATACATATATATTATATATTTTTTAGAGATAACGCAGTTCATCAAATTTAAAATTATAGCTCGAAGCCTCAATGAAAAAAAAAGTTAAAAACTCCGTTAATAGCGACAATTTTCTAGTTATTTTAAAATCTTACCAATAACTTTCAATTTTCAAGAAAGCCTGGAAATTCGATATAAAGTTACATTTTAAAATGTATTCTTTTGTGGTGTTGATAACATAATATATGGTAATGATTGAAATAAACTTGGCTTATCCCGCTATAACTTTAATTCTTCGTAATGAGAAATTTAATCAGACGAGATATTCACCTTTCAGGTATTTAAAAAAAAATGCTATTACGAAACTACTGAAGTAATATTTTGGTAAAGCTGTTGTGCGTTGTTTAAAACAAAGAAAGAATCGATTACAATGCTCAAAAAATGAAAGTTTGGGTCAAAACACAAAAACAACTCAAAGAGTTATATAGAAAGCTCCTCACAGAATTACGCGGTTGTTATAGTTATGACCATAATTTGGTGCTGATAAAAAAAGACGTGCGTAGTTCAAAGTGTAAGTATTCAATATACATATACATTTATTAGAGATTTTGTACATTCAGAACATTATACGTCAACCAAATCTAAGAAATACATTTTGACAGCTGTTAGACTTATTGCACCAATCATGCCAACCAAAAAATGAGAACATACAATATTCGATTCTTTAAAAAATCGATATCGATTATTTAGAGTTGGTAATCATTTACAGTTTGCTTTGAATAATACCAGAATAAATCAAAAACGGATAATTTAAAACACAAGATTTATCAGTTTCTTCGTATTTGTTATTACTCCTTATTTCTAGAGACAGTTATAAAAATGTAAGATTGAAAGTAGATTAAAAATAAATTTATTCAATCACTTTCAATACAACTAGTAGAGATATCGTTTATATTAATTATTTTTCGATTTTCAATAATGCAGTCAAAATTAATGTCTCTTTCAAAGTCATCCATAAGCAATTTTTTTTGTTTTTTCTATCACTTTTGCCCAATCATCCTTTATGACATGGACAGATGCTTCAACGAATATATTTTTATAGCATTGGCTGACATGCATGTTACAATTAACAACACAAATCAAATTAGAAATAGCTTGGTAGCGATCACACTTCCGTGTTATTCTCATCCACAAATTCATTATTATTAAAAAGTTTTACACAAACTTTTTATACAAACTTAGTTTAATAAAGTTTTTGAACTTTGTGTACTTATTTCAACTTTTGTATATTTTCTGGGATTTTTTTGTAAAAGCGTATACATCGCCTCAAGAATGAATTACTGATTCTGTGGAGTCGAGTAACTGGTATCGAAATGGCGGGGTATTGAAATTATATAGTGGTTATTTTAGCAAGGTCTTGTATATGAGTTTTTTACCTACACATATTTACTTTGACAAAGTAAAAAAATAAACTTGTTTTATTCATGATTCATGTAATTTAAGGAATTTTGATAATAAAAATTAAATTAAACAAATAATACAATAAAGAAATTAATGGTTCGATTATTAGAATATTTTTACCGATTATTTGAATATTTTGCCGATTATTCGCATAACAATGAATTTTAATCATTCAAACACTACGTTAATATACATAGCGACGTATCATTGAAACGACGTCAAGTAAAAAAGTTAATACTGGTTATTTTTTAATATTTTGCAATTGTTTGAAAAATTCAAATTTAAGGTAGTGATAAAAACTATACACGTTGTAATGAAATATAGAAAACCTCATAATTATTAGGATTTACGTAAAAAGTTATTTTAAATCGTGTGAGTACGCTTGTGCAAAGTTATTGCAGAATGATTAACGTGAAACGTCAAAAGGTATTTCTTAGATTTGGTGTACTATAGATACCTTCATTCGCAAACACAAGTAGCCCCAAAAAGCAATGATACAATTGATCTAACGCATACCTCAGTTCCGTCGGCACGCGAGTCGTCGAATTACCCGAGCACCGCGCGCCAATTAGGTTGTGAGTAAGGTCGAACACTCACGCTTGGACGTGATACCCAGATATTCTCAAGGAGAGCTATTAAAGTGTTGTGTTCTATAAATTACATCATTGTACTCTTAGTGAAGTACAGAACTTTATTGGTTTGTTTTTCATATATATATTTTTTAGAAACGGATACATGTTATGATATTTATTAATAACGGTAAAGGTTGTTCCGGAGAGTAGGGTTGTTTTAAATTTTCACGGTCCTGAGTTGAGATATGTTCTTATTTATTTAAAAAAAGTAGTGATAAACCCAAAACTATGTGTTAAGAATTTATCACGTAAGGTATATTATGTAATTAATAATTAAACGCTGACTGACCGCCTCGTTGGTCAAGTGGTCGTAAACGCGATTGCTGATTAGGTCCCGGGTTTGAATCCCGGGTCGGGCCAAAATCAGTTGTTAGGTTTCTGTCAAGAAATTCTCAGTAGCAGCCCAGAGTTAGGAGTTGGCGGTGTCTCACCACCGTGCCTTGAAAAGCACGTAAAGCCATTGGTCCTGCGCCCAATCTCTCTCCGATCGTGTCGAACTACCGTCTTACGGTCTATGTTCTAATTTTTGGGGTGTAACCCTTACTTATGATTATGAGCGTTTTGGAAACACACACACACACACACACACACACACATACTATACTAATATATATGTATATATGTATGTGTGTACATACACACATACATATATATGTATATATGTATGTGTATGTGTACAATCTTTATTAA